CGCGACTTAGGGCGACCACTAGTAGCTTGTGAGGACATTTTGTTACATGTAAGGTCTTGGGAGCCCTTGCGGTGATGTCTTTTCAATACGGGACCTGGGATAGGAAGGGCTAAGAAGTCGGCAAAACCACAGGTTTGCAACCATCACCAAAGCCAGCCATTTTGCCTGGCAGGTGCCGGGGGTCTTCCGGACCAACGGAAAGGCGGAATACGTGTTCGAGCATGGCCTCGTTCGGGAGGACCAATGATCGATGCAGTGTCTTACGCCTGGCAGGGACCGCAGGCCTTGATTTTGTGAGTTTTGGGAGATGCAGGGTACCCACCTTCGAAGGAAGCGCCGAAGAAGTTCTTCTACCTGGACGAGAACATTCGTCGTGCTTGTGAGAATTCCCTTCGCGCTCGTGGTCTTGTGGACAGCGATCTGCATGTGTAGGTCTCCCTCGACGACCGGAGACCGGTCAGAGTGAAGCGCCGAAGTTGGCAGGACTTGCACATGGCAGATGCGCCGGAACTGAAGTGTCGCTACCCCTCAGAAGAGGCACCCGCATCTTGAAGAGACCGCAAAGCGGCTCGAATTGCCAAGCTTGACCTGGTCTGCAGACTCTAACAATGGACGAGTCACGACGAGTTCCTGTCATGTTCGAGCTTCTCGGAATGCGTCGGTTTTCACAGGTGGTGATCCTGGCACCCGAAGACTCCGCGCTGACTCTGGCACAGCTCCGCATCGTGCGGTCCCTTCTGCAGAAGCACTTTAGCTCGGAGCGCCGGGTGTGGATGGGTGTGGGCGTGGGGGCTTTTCGGGCATCGAGGGTGTAGGCTGGCAGAAGCTTCCTGCAACAGAACCACAAAGAAGAAATGCAAGCGGCCTATAGAGATAGGCTCTGCTGGTCACCTAGTCAGATCACGGCAAAGCCTGTCATCTTGACAGATTCAAAGCGGAAAGAACAAGATCACGAAAGGGATGAACAGGATCAGGAAAGTAGCCTGACAGGATTCCGATGGATTATGGCTTCCATATCGTATACAAGCGTTGATGAGCCCTTCTCTGCTCAGGCTTCTCGTGAGCAGGTTTCATATCGGCGGTTCGATGTTTCAGATGCTGGGGACCTGCTGGTAGGGGTAGTGGGATCTTTTGTATTCCAGGTTCAACCTTTGCCCTTTGACATTCTGCGTGCAGGACTTCGGATTTGGGATGTCAAGGTAGGACTGTGCAACGCGATCTTTTCAGTCGAGGGTTTTGCTCCGTATGCCTCTAGACCCGAAGCTTTGCCGTGAGGCTTGCCATAGCAATTGGATGTGAAGTATCCTGCAACACATGGACATGAGGCAAACCATGGCAAGCCCGTAGTAACCCCGGAGTGTTTGCAGCGGATCCTAAAGTCTCAGCTGCCATACTACAGGCAACTCAAATCCCGCAAGCTCAGCCTTATAATCTGAAATAAAGGATTCCTCCGTCCCTCAGAAGTTACAGTTTACCGGAAGTCCTTCCAGGAGCAGGTTGCAATGGTCTGGGAGGAGGCGACCTCCCGCGATCTTTGGTCCGACTGCGGTGGCAATGGTCTGAATGCGCTGGAGGCACTGGGACCTTGCGAGACCCGTAGCCCTAAAACTTCTTGCATTCTGCTACGCAGTTCTTGAAATAAAGGCAGTACCGTTGCACGTCTGTCTATCATGTTGCGCTATGCAAAAATGCGCTGTGCTTTCACATCGTAGCGATGACATCATGCTCTTGCATGATCACTGTGCAGGGGTCCGACCTTACGCTGTCTGATTCTGCACCAAAGTATGAGTCTACGTTCCACGGCTGTAACACTGCAGGTTGTGTACTGTTCTGCGGTGTCGCCTCTTCTGACTATTTGTTTCGTCATTTCGACACTTACTTTCTGGTGTTGTCCTTGTTTTGTAGATATCTGAGGGTCCTTTTCCAGGGTTGCCTCACCTGTCGATGATGTGTTTGCCCAGTTTCGTTTCGTGCAGAGCAGCCTTTTCCTTCTCTCAGTCACTCATTCCGGTGGAAAGCTGAAGGTGATCAAATCCGATGGCTGCCGCCTTTCGCAGTGCTTCCAAACAGAGGCGGAGCCGACTGATGTCGTACTTTGCCATATGCCATACTCCTTGCTTTGAACAAGTCGCCATGCAATAATTCATATTGCGGGCTCGCGGTGCTTCCAGGTCCAAAAGCCGGACTACTTCGTTACCTGCTCCTGGGACATGCCGCTCACAGAGATGTTCGAAGCAATTGAGTGGCATGCAGAAGCCCGCTCTTTGTCGGATCGGGCGACATACTACATCGACGCATTGTGCCGGACGAGTTCGAAGCGTTTGAGCCCCTTGGAGAGTCTTGACCCTCTGCGCAGTGACGTCACATTGGTGAGCGGCGATGCCATAAGGGCCATGGACCAAAGCTCTGGCTTCGTCCTCGCTTTCAGTCGACGTACTGCCACCAGGTGGAAAGACGGCAAGCCAAGCCTCTGGATGCTTTACGAAACCTTCCGTGCTCAAGAACTGAATCTTGGATGGGACCTGGCGAGTACTTCTGGAGCCCTCGCAACCATGCGGCCCTTTGACAATGGATGTTGGGCTTTCGGTGCCTTCGACACCGACATCGCACAATCGCTATCTACTGTAGCAGTCGAGGCAGACAAGTGCACCTGCACACGCAAAGCGGACAGAGAATCGATCTTGAATCAGCATCTTGTCTGGGTGCGATCCATTTTGTCGCGGACACACATGTTAGGCCAACTGTCTGCCTGTCGTCCATTCTTGGCCTGCTCTGAAGGCTTGCAAGTGGGAAGCTGGGGATCAGCGGATTTGAGTCGCGCTGCTTGGCAGACAGTCTTAGCCTAGCAGCATAGTTTCCAAGGCAAGTTGTGGAATCCCCGAGATGTCAATGTGAAGATCGCATGACTGCGGGTTTGAGCCTCTCAGGTGTTAACACGACTATTCCTTCCAGCGTGCTGGGAGCAGCCTTGCTGCATGTCTCATACCTTGACTTGGAGAATCTCGGTTGCTCTAGAAGCTGCAGCGAGCCATGGCTTTTCGGAGCAGTGCTTGGTGATAGCCTTGCAGCCTTGCCGTCATGAGCGTCGGCCCAGGAGCGACAAGACAGCGGCGCATGATTTGGCTCAGCTGGTGCTGGAGCTGAAGCGCTCTGGCGACGCTTGTCCACAGAGTCTGAGGCTGTCCAGGCTCAGGCTGCATGCAGCTCACTGCAGAATACTGCAGAGATCTTTCCTGCCTTGGTCTCCAGAAGTCTCCAGGTCCACTTGACCACGCAGCGCTTGCAGGGTGCCTTCGGCGAGTCGGCATTGCATGTCGCCGCCGCAGCAGGGCGAGGTGACGCGAAATCCGGCTCTCAATGGGTTACCTTAAGACAGTTCCTTCACAGGTTTCCATGCACACGAATGCACCTCAAACCGTTCGAAGGCAAAGCGGATGGGATGAGAAGCCTGCTAGAGCTTTTCATAAAGCTTGGCATGGATGTCGATGGCTCCTCGGCGTGAGCTCGCTGGGTTGACACGAATGTCGGATCTACAACACGCTTGTAAGTATCTATCAGCAATGTACTCCACTGAGCCCTAAACCCACAACCCAAAAAGGCACATCCGGAACCTAAAACCGGCAGCGTAATTCTTCAGGTCAGGACAGCGAAAGGAGACACACCTTTGCATTGGGCCGCTTTCGTGGGTAATGCCACAGCTGTGAAGGCGCTGGCAACGCAACAACAACTGGAAATGGACTCTTTCAGGTGTGACAATAGTTCCAGCCGTAGTTCTGGTCCGTTTTAGTTTTCTTACAGCTACCGTCATAGCTCTTCAGACTTGCCATCGTATGTTATGGAGTCCTGCTGAATACTCTTCACCGGGGTGATTGGCCTTGCAAGGTCTTGCTGGGGGACGTGAGGCTGTCATTTTTCGGCAGTAGGGTGTGCAGTGCTAGCAGGTGCTGCTGTCAAAGGGAGCCAATGCAGCGCTGGAGAACTACAGCGGCCTCACGCCATTGGAGGCGGTTTGCCGGGAGCCGGAGGTTTCACATGTCACCGCAGTCCACGAGGTGGCCTCGACGCAGCCGGCCAGCTACCTCGAAGGCTGACAGCTGCAGTGTCGCAACCATGGCGGTATTGAAGAGTTGTGATTCGGTATGATTCGATTCCTTCACAACATTTAAAAGCAATGCGATCAAACGAGAGGCGGGTTTAAGAATTGTGATGAACCGCCATCCACGAGGGAGTTGAGCTGCGACGCCTACCGAGGGCACGGGCTCAACGGGGCGGGTTTGAGAAATGCGATCTCCATCGCCTACTATTGGTGGGGGGTTAGGGGGTGGTGCGGGTACAAGACATGTGTTCAAATTGGTCTGAGAAATGCGATCCACCGCCTCGCCTGGTGCGAGGGCGGGCTTAATGACGGTGATCAGCCACCATCGCCGTGAAACTGCCGTCGCCGAATGAGGGCGGTTCGAGAACGTATGATTACTCATGAGAGGGCCGGCTAAAAGCTTAAAAATGTGATCAACCCATCGCCTGATGACTGGCAGAATTCTCTTCACCGTGCACTTGCGACGTCCTCGAGAGCTTGCCACGGCATGGGCATTCCCAAAAAAACTTGGTGTGAAGCAGGACCGTGGTTAGTGTATGCGGTGCAGTTAAAGGTCCCAGGCAGTTCATGTCACCTGACAGCAAATAATAGCTACGTGACATTGCTGGTGTATGAGGGCGCGAAACAAGACCGGACAATTTCGAATTGCCACACAACCTGTTTCAACACAGGACCGTGCCCAATCCTATTGCAAGAGTATCGAATGTTGCAAGTTCTGTATGATCGGTCAGGCCCACAAAAACCACCAAGCTCCAGTAGAAAGAAGCCAAGCAGCGTGTTATTGCAGTCCCTGCATGATCCGGTCAAAAAGCTAACGGCGGCAACACGACCTGCTGCGGAAATCATGGCCTACGCAGTGTGGGTTAGTGAAGGTCGCACCGACAACGACTATGGCCAGTGCAGGAGTCTGCTGCAGGCCGGCTATCCATGAGCTTAGGACCAAAAACAAGGCGTTTAAGCATAAAGTGTCGAAGCCGAAAGCCACTCAAAGGAGCGTACCTTCCACAGTTCATGTTTAGGTGTTTTGCTGTTGCTGGGATCCTACGTACAGGATCCCGCTAGGCAATGCAGAAGATCGAGTTCGCTTGCGTCATTCACAGACGAAGCCCCTTCAGAATCCTGCTGCTGCCGCCGAAGTGGCGGTGGCCGCATCGTAGTATCATAGTCTGTGCCCAGGCCAGCGAGCGCAGGCCGCCCCCACTGGGTCCAAAGATCAAGGAACTTCTGGAAAGGTTCGGACCTTGCGCCTTGGGTTGTCGGCTTCCGGGCGCTTCAGCTTTAAGGGTGTAGGTTCGGAAGCTGAGGGCAGATCACCGCAGTAGCATCGAGTAAGCCGTGCATTCCCGAGCCCTGAGCAGCAAACCCCCATCTGCACGCAACATCTTTAGCAGGGAAATTTCGATAGTCTGCATTTCGGCCAGCACTTGGCCGACATGCGCTTTAGGAGTTTTGGATGAGGAGACTTTGAGGTTCAGAGCTCGGGATTCCGTGGTTCTGGTCCCAAGATAGACTTTGCGGGTCCTGCGCATGAATATATTCGTGCTCGCAGTAATAGCGTGTGTCTTTGACGGGTCCTGGAATGTTGAAGTTTGGTGATGTCCCACAGCAGCGCCGGCAGTCCACCGACCTCTCCGCCGAGCTCTTGCAGGAAGGTGCAGCGGCTTTTCCAAGGCTCGGGAAATCGGGGCTTATCAAGGTCTTGAATCGGAAAGGCTTGAAAGGAGTCAGCAGATTTCAGACTTTCCATGGCCGAGACTAATCCAGAAATCTAATAATGCGTCTCAATTCGGTGGCTGCCGATTTGCTTGCCCGTCGCAGATCACGACTACGGCCACAGTGGGACTATTTCGCGATCGCATCTTCGCTCGATTCTGGAAGATATCGGGACTCAGCCTGAAGTTGTAGAGCTCATCCTTGCGGATCAGGGGTCCAGTGTGGACTACCATTCCTTTCTCAGAGGACTCTGGTGCCAGACATAGGAACGGCACAGGCAAACCTTGCAGAGAGCGTTTGAGCTATGCGTGGCCATCTGGGCTGAAGCGAACGGTTTCAGACCCATCGACGAGCTTTAACGAAGCTCCAAACAGGGCGACGAGGCTTTCATGTGGAGCATGCTTGTACCGCGATGACATCTTCAGCAGCCCACCGGCCAATGCTAATCCTAAACCCTAAACCCTAAACCCTAAACCCTAAACCCTAAACCCTAAGCCGCTTTCGATGCCTCGATGTCTCGGTACGGCTGCGGACGCAAAGACTTCCCAGGGCCGTAGTTTTAACATCCGACCCGCCAGTGCAATGCCGCGGCGACCGGAGCAAAAGCTGGCGCTTTCGCCTTGTCCCGGATGTCCCAAGTATTGTACTATTACTATGTTGTATAGCATCATATATACATTACATGTTAGATTCTACTTTACTGTATCAGATTATTATACTATATTATCATCATCATATACTCTTGTACTATGCTGTGCTATACTGTGCTATGCTATTCCATTCTAGGATCCCTGGATGCCTCTGCTCCGAGCCCAGGCCGGAGTTACTGCGGAAACTTTGAGCTCCGACTTGGGGCGCTCGGAGGCTTCCGAGCTTCTACAAGAGGGTTACTGGGGTTTGTAGGGTTGCTGGGGTTTTAGGGATGCCTGGGGTTTTAGGGTTGCTAGGGTTTTTTAGTTGAGGGTTTAGGGTTTTTGGAGTTTATAGGGTTTTAGGGTTTGGGGTTTTTAGGGTTTTCGGGTTTAGGTATTTTAAGGTAAGAATCGGTAGGTTATAGTTGAGCCCAGGTGCGTCTTGCATTCCTGGAAAGTTGGGTTGAGTTTCGGAGGACCGCGGATTACTTGGCGATCTGCGGCTCTCCGAGTCCTTGGCCAAAAGCCCAGCCTGCTGGGAACGTTTTCCAGGGCGGGGGTGAAGACACTTCTTCCGATCCATCTGGTTAAGACACCTGCCCTCTGCCGTGGCTCAGACATGCTCTTGCACCAGGCTTTCATGTGCGAAGTTCATGTCAGATCACCTTCCTTAAAGCAGAGCTGCACGGTTTCCGGCCTAACTTTTCCGCCCCCTGCGCTTTCATGCGGTAAGTCTCAACGCATGGTGTGGATCGGAAGAGAATGGATGCTGGCAAAGCAGGTTTCAATTCCCTTTCAACCGCTGTCACCCCCAGTCCCCAAAACCCATCGAGCCATGGGCTTTGCCACTCGGCGACTGCTCCTGGTAGGTCTTGGGGCACACCTCTGCACGAGGTGCCAGCACTGTGGGAGCGTCTTTCGGATTTTCGTGGGTCAAGTCTTTGCATAATCGGGCCCCTGACAAAGTCTTGCATCCAAAGACGAAGGAATTTTGCATCAGTGGCGAAAGTTGCCTTCAGAAGCTTATTATGTGCATTCCTCGATGAATCGGATGCACTGGGCAGCCCAAACATGCACACACACCCCAAAGCTTGATCGGCACTAAGCCTAAACCTAAAAGCCGAATAACACCTAAAACTAAACCCTGAAACCCTGAAACCCTAAACCCTAAAAGCCCTAAAACCCTAAAGCCTTAAACCTTAAACCCTAAACCCTAAAACAAGCTCAGGTCAGCCTTTTCGCAGGGCCAGCCGGTGCCCGAGTCGCAGCTGCCGGCCGGACTCAGGCCATGGACCATGGACTAGAGTGCACTATAGTATAGTATTTTATGGTGTAGTACACTATAGTACTCTATAGTATAGTATAGTACAGTACAGTACAGTGCGGTACAGTACAGTATAGTATAGTTTTGTATAGTATAGGAATTTATAGTATATGGGCTTCGTGTGTAGGCGCATGCTGGTGGACATGCGGGCAGGTAACTTAGACTTTGACCTCGCAGCTTCGGCGGCGTCCTTTACACACCGGACACGCATGTATGGACATCACGCGCTTGCCTTCTGTGTCTTTCTGTTTCTCTCAGTCTCTCCATCTCTGTGCCTCTCCTTCTGTCCAACGTGGGAAACATATGTGGCCTTGTGCGTGGGATGTGGATTTTTGAAGATGAGTCTAGGTGTTTGCTCTAGATGTGGTGAATGGCCCTGACGGCTTCGTAGTTGTGCGTGTCATCAGGCAGTGGATCGGTTTGGACTTCTGCGGGCAAGAGTGGCTTGGATGCGATGGCCGCTTTGGGCGACGTTGTGGTGGAGAGCTGCACATGCAAAGCGCGTGAACATGTTGAAGCCAGAATGTATCTATCTAGCTCCTGCAACGCGACCAAAGGACCCCTTTTCTCCTTCCGATATGCACCATGGATACCGCCACAGCTACCAAAGCTTGCTTTGGCTTGGCCGGGCAGGCGTTGGGTCGCGTTCCACGGCGGCCTGGCGGAGGCAGGGCCTTTGCAGAGGGCAGGCCGAGGGTACCTGAAGAGGCTGCAAAATGAAATCAATCAATGATGGGCATCATAGCACCCCACGGTCCTTGAGGTTGAAGCGCTTGCGACCTGAGGGAATTTCGATGGGTTGCGAAGAGTTTTGTCAGGTAGTGAAGGACTTCAACAACCGGGACTTTGAGCCAGCGCTCCTGCGACTAGCCGAGCCACTTGGCAGTCAGAGACACGTGAGATTGAGGATTGCACGCGTCTGAATGGAGCAGACAGGAGCTTTCACGGAAGGCCTTCACTCCTGATGCATTTGTTGCAATCAGGTGAGAGGTGCAGGTCGAAAAGATGCTGTGAAACGAGCGCCTGCGTTGCATATGCAAGGCTCCTGGTGCCAGTGGCACAGAGCACTGAGGCTCGAGTGCCACACAGACCAGTCTTTGTCACTGAATCCTAAGTGCCAATTGTCCGATCTTCGATTCTGATGGGGTACACGGAGCGCTGGGTAGAGGCAGCCATGATAGGTCGGAAGGTGGTTTGTATACTGCTGCGAAAACTTACGGTTCATCGAAATCCTGCACAGAACAGCCGTGCTCCTTCCGAGAACTTGTAAGCCTGCCCAAGAGGCGCTTGTTGCAGTTGCAGTGTGAGGCCGCCTTTAGCTGCGCCACCGCGGTGGCCTCCGCGCTAGCGCTGGCGGCACAGAGCTGTGCCGCATTTGCAAGGGGCTGGTGGTATTTTGGCATCCAAGGGCTTCCATGAGGTAGAGAAGCTCGAAAAGTGCAGCACAGCTGGAGCCGGCTTGAAGGGCCTTTGTGGGTTGGTTCCCATCACGCAGCGTTGCCCCTCTCTTGCGAAAGCGGAGTCGCCAGAGGCGATCAGCTGCAGCGGCCGGTGCTGGCTGCCAGGCCGGAGCAAACCCACCGAAAGCATTGAAATTTGGGCCCTGGGCTGTCTGGTAGTCCGTGTTCTATATGCACCAGGTTTCGGCAGCTGTCGGCGATTTTCGGGTCCTACGACTATCAGATGAAGGGTGAGGACCGGTGGAGCTGGAAAATCTGCTTCTAACCTCCGAAAAAACGTTGCTCAGAGGATTATATCAACGACAGCCCTTGGCCGATCAATTGGAAGCAAAACATGGAGGGTATCTTGCGCCGCTCGACAGGCATTCGGTGGCGTTTTGACAGAAGGTTGTCGTGCTTCGATGTCCTGTGCTCATTCCTGCCAGTACAGGTTGGGGTCGCACAGAGTTGTTGAATTCCTGACCGCACATGTAGGGCCAGCTGCCGCATCTTGACTACACAAACACAACATGTGGGTTTCCGTAATATAGCACCCTAAATAGTAGGATCCTTATCATAAGGACCCCAAAATAAGGTACCCCTAATTTTCGGTACTATCTTAGGGTCCCCTATACCCACATCCTGTGGCTGCTTTGTCGAGGTTCCATGGCCTTCCTCAAGCAGCACGAGGTGCAGGCCAGCGCAGCCTTTGCCTTCAACGTTTCGTGAAGACGAGCCTCACCAAGACGATCTAGAATCTACAGATTGGAACCTAAAACCTCTTTGTAGAGTCCTCAATCTCAAACCTTCGAAGCCCTCAACTATCCCAAACTTAAGGCTAAGCTGTTTTGGAAGGCCGAGCCTTGGCGCAGCGCCGCCGCTCGCTCGGCAGTGCCGCGGGGCACGGGGAAGCGGCGCGTGGCCATTGCCGCCGGGACAGCAACGGCAGGGAGGGGACGGAGGGTCTCCCCTTTCCTGTCCTTTCGTTGCAGTGGTGCTCCAGCTTGGGAGGCGGAAGTATACTATGGCGTGACTTTCTGGGATACTTATAAGCTCTGCTGACAGCACGAAGCTCGTAGCACCGCAGCACCGTCGACCTCGACACTTCAAAGCTTTGTGCGAGCAGCAGTGTTGTTCTTGCAACCTGCACGACTATCATGTCGCCGTGCAGACCAGGTGACTGTTTGTGACTATGACCCAACGCAGACGCCTCTTGCTCGACTGTCGAAGCTGAACAGATACCTGGCAATGAGTGGTGCTTTGCTGATTTGCTGATCCTGCGGGAGAGCTTGCATTGGCTGAGGAGATGCGTACGCCAAGATGCACGGCTATGATGTGGTGATGTATGCTACTTGGATTCTGCAAGCCGGGACTTCTGAGTCAACCCAAGCACTGCACGAAAGTGATCCGGTCCCAGCGACAAAAGATCCTTGAAGCAAACAACATCCACCGACGACTGCGACATACTGCAGGCGTCTCGCACAGTCCCTTCGCGCCGTCCTTTTCATCACAACCTACTATTACAGTCATATCCTGCAGCCCACTGCTTGCACCAAATCACAGCAAGGAAGACACAGCTCTCGCAATAGAGCCGCCTTTCACCGCAAACACAAGGCACAGCTAGCAGCTAGCATCCCACCAACAGACAATTCAATGCAACCAGGCCCAATACACCCACACAGCTAGCGCTGGCTCAGACCAGCGGAGGAGTTGCTGCAAGCTGCGGAGGCCCGCTCAAGAACAACCATGATCGCAACATACCGTGACTTTTTTTTCGGTATTGGTTTGGGACTCAGGAGAAGGCACCACTCTTCGCAGATCCCTTGGCGGGCCTGCTCACAGAGCCCCTGGCCCATCGCCCGCCCGCCTGGTCCAAGGCTCCTGCAGAGCAGAGGGCGTCTTTCGCCGTAGTCTCCTTCCCTTAAAGCAGGTGGATGCTGTGTTGGAGACATTGGCGCAGGGACGCCACGACTGGGCGACCCGTCTGAGGGGGCAAAGCATTGCAAATTTCATGCATCTCTGCTCGTCTCCCAAAGCAGGTGATGTGGTTGGACTGCGATTCCTTCTTCATGGACCCGGAGGACAGGAGTGGACCTCAAAATGAGATTACAGCAACCACTCTAGGGCCATCCAGGAACGTAGGCCGGCGAAAGCAGACTAGATCCTGCTGCAGTGCCACTCTTGCTGTCTTGCAACCAGTTTGCAACTCGGACGTCGGAAATTCGAGCTCGCGATTCCAAGACCTGCCATCCCGTGGGAGGTGCGCCTGGAGGAGATCATCGGATTGGCAGAGAGCCGCTGCCCGGCCACATCCGGTGATGATGCGGCGGGGGGCCCCGGCGTGGCCACCACTCGGAGCGGCGAGGGAGTGGTCCCTGACTGCACTTCGCAGGCTCGGCTTCGAGATCTGGTCGCGAAGTGGCAGACCGGACCGGAGCAGGAGAGAGGGCCCAAGTGGGGGTTCGCGGTTGCTCGGTCGATGCCGGAAGAGTTTCACAGCAGTGCATGCAGCAGCAGGAGCCGGAGAGTCTTCTAGACTGGTACGACAACCTGCTTGAGAGCTACGCAGCAGAGGGTGTGGGCTGTGATGCGCTCCTCGATGCTGCGTTCAGGCACGGGTTGGTTCTTTTAAACATCTCGGAGCCATGGGACATTTCTGATCACGTACCCTTGGCGTGCAGACACATCTCTGAGTACACTCTCTCTTGAAGAAGCAATCGTTCTGCGCCTTGCTGCAGTGCAGATGCAAGAGGGCGAAGACTCCAAGGTTTGAGCCTCCAACAACCACCCCGTCCAACCGAACGCTGGGCAACTTGTCTTCACCAGCGCACCGGACGGTTGTTTGGGGCCCAAGCATTGATACCGTAAACCCTAAACCCTAAAGTTCCTGACTTCCTCAAGCTGCTGCAGACTGTGCTGGCCAAGGTTGGGCCGAGTGGCTCTTCCAAGAGACGAGACCGCAGTTGGTTGCATCCGAGGACGCTCGCACTAGCAGTGGCTCGTCACATACAAGCACGACACCAAGTAGTGATAGCAGATGGTAGACGAAGTTGTATCGAGCATGTTGTCTGCAGACGAAGAAGAATGCACAGCATCACGAAGACTTCATTAAAATTATGATTTGCCTGATTGCAGGACGGCTTGATGCTGAATACCGGCGTCATGCGCAGCACTGAGATTGCTGACATATCTTTGAACGGTGGCATGTTGTGTTGCAACAGTCTTTAGTCTTCGCATGGCAATGCAAGAACAGACAGCAATTGCCCACAGTGTAGTATCCAGGAACAATTACTTGTAAGACAGACTTGACACATGAAATAAGACTGTGGTCGTTTCGAGTAACAGATGAGCTGAAGCGTGGATGAAGGCCTGAAGATCTACACATAGCCGCATGTGTGTTTGTGTCTGTACAAGACGTTTTTTGGTCTGTACATGCATTAGGTTGACACTGACGTATGCATGTGAGTATGTATCCTGGAAGGTGCGTGGAGTACATATGCCGGTAGGTATGTATCTAAGGAGGCAGGCACATCTAAACATAGCAGGCGATGATGCCAGCCCATGTATACACAGGCATGCTAACAAACAAACAAACAAACAAACAGACAAACAGACAAACACACAAACGAGCAAACACACAGACAGGCAGACAGACAGACAGACAGACAGACAGACCGACCGACAGACAGGCAGACCGACAGACAGACAGAGAGACGGACAGACGAGACCGTAGCCATTGTGGCTCAAGCCGTGCGTGGTTCAAGGACGCGCGGGCCTCTCTGCTCGAAGGTACCCTGACCTCTTCTTGCTCTCGAGGCCCACCGCTCCTCACCTCTGGGCCTTTGTTGACTGCTGTGCAAGACCATGGCGCGAAGTATTGGTGGAGTTTGCTCCTGCGCGCGCACCCCAACACAGCTACTGAAAGGCTTCCATGAGAGTCACACAAGGCCACTTGGTGGGCGCTTGCCGATAACATGTAGGTGTGTCGTCTTCAGCCCCTGCTTGCCCTGCCCTGGCCTGCCTGCCCTGCCCTGCCTGTTCTGCCTCGCCTGCCCTGCCCGGTGACTTCCGTTCGGCAAGGCTCACAGCACGTGGCTGGGAGAAAGTGGCAAATGCTTTCCGCACGAAGGCTGCTTTGATGGCCGAGGGAGTCACCGGAAGTTCTTTGGCCACATCCTCGACGAGCCACCTTATTACTGCATGTATATTCAGAAAGCTGGAGAGTGTTCTGGTTCTCTTCGTGGGATTAGGCCGCTAGTGCTCAGCCCGGAGGGGCAGCCTACACTCGTTGCCGGTGTAAGACTATTTGATACTCCCTGTCGGACATGGGAGGAGTGTGCTTGCAGGACTTGCGACAGATTTGGTCGAATTTCTGCCTCGTCTGCATGGTGGATGCCGCTGCGGCGCCTCGATGCAGCGGTTGGCTGCATCTATGGAAGGGTGCCTGCCCGCACAGCTGGGCTGCGGAGGAGTTGTGGAATTTGAGGCGTTGGGCTCCGCAGAGCCTGCCGGTCCCACTTCCCAGACTTTCGTCAAAGTCTCCATTCCAAGCGCCCCGTGTTCAGAAAAGCAGCACCTGCAGCTAGACGTGGAGGATTTTGGAGAATCAAGAAGCCGTCAGGGCCGTAAGTCCTCTACAGTTTTCCACGAGACGAAAGCATGCGAACAGCCCGCTTGGTGCATGTGACAGGTTTGCTCTTTGCAAATATCGAGTGTAGCGCACTCGCAGCCCTTGAAGATGCCAGATGGCTACGTCCCTACTTGCTTCGTGCCCACGAACGAGTCGGGAAGTCAGGCACACCCCACTGCAACCATACAGCGCTTTAGGAGACGATAACTTGCCGGCAGGCAGTATTTGCATGTTGCTGCGAACCGTGCGTTGCACGGTGATGACGACGCGCCTAATTCCGTTGCGCAGTCCGTCCGACGGTTCGGGAAGTCAGGCGCGCCCCACTGCAACCGTAAAGCGCTTTAGGAAACGATAACATGCCACTGGGCATGCGCGGCAGTGTTTGCATGTTGCTGCGAGCCGTGCGTTGCACAGTGGCGCCTGAGAAAGAAGCGCCTACTCCGAATGCGCCGCCCAATGGTTCGGGAAGTAAGGCACGTCGCAAGCCACGCTGCAACCTATGAAGCATTCCCGTCCTTATCATATTGTTCTTTTTGGAAGGGAAAGAGCTGCCTGGCCTCAATGCGGTCACCTCAGAGCGGGAGCGACTGAGATGTTTTTACAGGCGCATGGGGTTTAGAGTGGCGGCCCCGGTCGACATTGGAAGGAAGAAGACATCTCACGATGAGGGTAGTCATCTCAGTGTTCTCATGCACATAGCATCAGCAAAATAAGCACGAGGTCCAACCGTCGCAGACCGCCCTCAAAGAACGAGGATACCCGGTTTACTCCCACTCAGCACCTGGGACCAGCGATCAAGGGCCTTTTGTGGCTTCGGGGGTATCGTGCACAATGTTTGGGGTGAGCTGCGGGGAGCAAGCCAAAACCTGGAATGGCTTTATAAAACCCAGAAAACTGTAAGCTGATGCCAGGACGAGGAACTCAAAAAGGCCGTATACTCTGGTGAGATGCAGATCTGGATTATCTTGGGGTTAGGGCAGGGCTTCGCTCAGTCCCATTGCAAGGAAGAGCAGATCCTGGCGATGACTGCAAGCATCTGAGTGATATTAAAGTGCAGAAACATGCATTAGGTTGTGTGGGTTGATGTCGAGGTCAAGATCTTTAAGGCGGAGTTGTAAAAGCGAAGCTGCAAAACCGACGGCCGCAAAGAGGATTCTGCGGGAACCGCCTCGGGTCAGCAAACTGTCAACTTTTCCATTCCGTTGTTTCCCGTGAGGACTTGCAAGACAGGCTCCTGCGAGCTGCATTGGGCCAGGCGCATCGGGGTGCGACACCTTGAGCCTTGAAACAAACATGTGATGAACGGCGGCAGGCTCGCCGCTCAGGCACAGGCTGGACAAGGCGACGGAGGACTCCTGGATAGAGCTTGCAGCGCAGGGTAGGGATGGGCACGGTTGAGGCCCAAATCGCGCCCCTGTTGTACCAAAGTGGCGCATCTTGGCCCTAAGGTCCTAAAGGCTTGAAGGCTTCAAAGGCCCTCAGCCCCTCAGCTACCACTCTCAGACTTGGCGAGAACGAAAACACAGGAGCTGACTTGATTGCGCTGTCCTCAGTTTAGAAGCGAATGACACCTACACGTGCGTAAATTCCGGTGAGATGCAGAACTGACAAAGAAGACCAGATCCTGGCGATGCCGGCAAGCATCTGAGTGTATTTAATTTCAGAAAAAAGGATGCAAGCTCCGTGTACAAAAGGTCCGCAGTTTGCCTCGCTTTTGCATTTTCCTTGTCTAGCACCCGCAACAGTCGGGGGTGTACTAACGTGCGGTGAGGGGCACAGCCTTGGCGAAAGATAAACGACAGACAGACAGGGAGAGAGATTCGGGGTGCAGGTCCCTTTGTTTGTGTGTGGTTGACAGAGTAAGCAGCCTTGGTGTTTGCTCGCCTTTTTCTGCCGCCCGTTCCGCAACAAGCAGGGGCGCTGACGAGCGCGGGTAGGGGGATCTTTCCTTTACCTCTAGCCCTGGCGAAAGAGAGACACAGAGAGAGACGGAGACACAAAGCCTTTTTCCACCCTGGTTCGATCCTTGTGCTTATCCTACTTCGTGTACAAGTCCCCCGATACGAAAACAATTTGCATTGCCATTCCATGTTGAAATCTGCTGGAAATATGTCGTTTGTGGCATTTTAGCATCCCTAAACAATGATTGCCGGCAGATGACAATGGGTGTCCCAAAGTTGTACTGAGCTCCAAACCGGGGGACATACAGATAAGCACTCCGATTTGAGGGCTGACCTTTCACACCCCCTGAAAACCCATGAAATTTGGGGGGCCTAATGGCCGGGGGGTCTAACCGACCCCTCATGCCCTGGGGACGAAGACACAGGGACACGGAGACGCAGAGAGACAGACAGATAGAGAACCAAAGACTTCGGCTGCGCGTGTTCGCGTGGGGGGGGGGCTCACGGGTGCGTTCTCCTGAAGCCGGCAGCAGGCAAGAGAGAGAGAGAGAGAGAGGCAGAGTGCTAGTGGAGGGTGCATAGGAGGAGATGGAAGCGGATGAGGCCGCTCCTGAGCACGTGCAGGATGTGTGAAAAAGTCGATACACCCCTGCTCCTCTTTTTTACACCGTGAAGGTATATCCGAATCTATGCGATGCAATGTTTACTTGTCGACGACTGGACATTCCTGTATGTGTAGTTTCTTGATGAGTGTCGGCATAAGAGGCATGGAGCTCTCTGAAACTTCTTATGGCTAGTCTGTGTGCTTGCTTCTGCTGTTGGATTACGGATGCCCTCCTTTCTTACCCTGGGGAAAGAAAGAGACGGAGACAGAGACAGACACAGACAGACAGACAGACACAGACAGACAGACAGAGACAGAGACAGAGACAGGGACAGAGACAGAGACAGAGACAGGGACAGAGACACAGA